ACTGCGTCCAGAAATGGCAATTTTAACACCAGATCGTAGTTGTTGTGGTCGATGGCGTCCATCGGCGGCAGACCATCGGTCACTTCCCGGTGCAGTCGGTCCTGAATGTGCGCATTGAGTGCCAACTCGTGACAGCAAAAGGCCAGCGCAGAGGCGACCGAAGCGAAGCCACCGTTGAGTGACGCGAATAACTGCGAAATCAACTCATTGTCGGACAGCAACTCATGTCCGGTGCTCTTCAGTCCAGAGCCCACACTCTTCTCGTCCTGTTTTCGGCGTTTTAATAGATTTTGCGATATTTCGTACCAAAAGTCGACGGCTCTGTCGTCGGTCTCTGTCTTAATGTTCAATATGTTTAGCACTCGAGTGGGCACAAGTAAAGTGACCACAATCTTCCAAAGCGGTGGCCGATAAACTCGGCGCGCGTTCACCAGAAACGGGTCGTTTGGGTCGGTGTAGGCGCCGGTGTTTGTGTCAAACAGAGTGCGGGCCAACACGTCTATAGCGTAGCGCTCGAACCAGGCATTCATGTCTACAGTGTTGCCCTTGTTATGAGTCACGTGTGCTGTTAAAGTAGTCAACAATTCGGTCAACGATTGCCGAATCAAAGGATATAACGCTCGCAATTGGCCGGTAGTCTTGGGACTGGCGGTGGACCGCATTCGGCGCCACTCGTCGCCCCTCTTGCCTATAATCAGGTCCACAATCGGGTGTTTGGCGTTAGAGACGTCGCGTCGGGTCTGAAACACATCGGACTCGCGCTGAAGGATCTCTTTGACGAGCGCCGGATCGCCCACTTTGAGCACCGGTCGGTTGCCCTCAAAAACACTATAAAATTTATTGAATATAAGTATTTAAATATGAACCTTGTGTTAATTATGTTTTGTATTTGTGGTGCAAACTGGGATCCAATATGATAAACTATATATTGAAGAAATGTCCCAGCATAAAACTCAATAAACCACGGGAAATTAATATCATAATTTATACAATAACAGCTGGGTGATTTCAATCCCAGTTTATTTACAACGTTTCTATTACATGCTTAAACTGTAAGATTCAAACATACCCATAGAGTTTGCCGTATTTCTTAAAGCGCTTTATTTTGAGCTCAGCCACGGGTGTGAACATCAACTCCCAGAGGTTCCCAATGCCCACCACTGGTTTGGGTCCACGTATACCACGTTTAGTAAAGTAATTAAAGTTTCTCGTAAAATACCTACATTGCAGAAGGTTAAATAATATTCAATTTTAAGTAATCACAATTTTTTAATGAAACATTTTTTAATTTTGTTGTAAATTAATTAACCAATACAATACCGCGATTGTAGCACATATGCCATAGACAGGCCATGGTAGTAAATTTATAAAAATCATTTCCTATTTAAAAATATATTTTTAATATCAAAATTTTTAAAATAATTTTAATAAAATTTAATTATTTATTTATAAATTACATATGATTTAATTTAAATTTGGTGAAATATAAAATTATAATAAAAAATATATCAAAATTTTGTTATTAATTTATAAGTTAAACCTAATACATTTACACAATGAGTATTGCATCAATATAAATGAACCCATTGTATGATGTAACTTAATTAACTAACTAGTTATTTTACAATAGTTTGACATTTATAAATTAGTTAATAGCATCTATTTGATAGTTAATGTAGTGAGAATAACAAGAATTGTTATTTCACAAGTTATTACAACATTTTAGAGTATCACTTGATATAAATTTATGCATTAGTTTTAGTACAGTTTTCGTGCTAAACCATCATGATTATGTATAAATTGAAATAATTACTAATTATTAATTCGTGATAGTTTATTTACATTACCTTTTAGTAATAAAAGATATTATTGAATTTGCTGATCTTAACCTGATGATAATTGTGGCGATTAATAAATTATTCTTAGTTAAATATAATTAAATAAATTACAGACTTTTAAATCTTTAAGAAACAGATGTTTCAATTGTTTGTCAATGAAAAATGAATTTATTATTTTTAGCAATATCATTTTACGTGTATTTTACGGATGATAATTTTTTGTGTATTTTGTTTGCAAATCCGGGTTTGAAACTTTACTCATCACTAAATGAAATTCCAATAGTGTTTAAAACTAGTGTTATGACTAGACTAGAGTGACGAGGTCAAAACTAAATAAATTTTTAAAAATAACAACATCATTAATTATATTTTTACTGTTATTTAAATCAAAGCAAAACATGTTTTTTAATTTGTCTCATCAATAATCTCTTCATATTCAGCCGGTGAACAATTAATTGTTATTAATTTAAAAACTTATAAGTTATAAGTAACAACACTTTCTTACACTACAAATATTTTTACAATAAACATGTATTGAAGTTAAAACAACAATATATTATATATTCTCTTACAATTAAAATGTTTAAATATGTGTTAAAATCATTAATTTTGATTTTAATAATATTACTTTATTAATAAATAATAAAAACAATATTAACAGGTTGAATTACATATCATTGTTTAACATTGAACTAGTACAAAATCAATTGTCATAGTTTTGTTTTAATTATCATTGGCTAACATTGAACTAGTACAAAATCAAAGTTTTATTAACTGGTAATAAAAATATAAAACTTAATTAAATCGTCAATATTTCATAATCATTGTAAATGATTTAATAAAAGTTGGTATAAACAGAAAATAGTTTATAACAAACAGAATGTATTATAATTATTATATTGAATTTAATAAATGTGAAATATTCATTTAAAAATGTATTTATGTTTATCATTAAAATAATATGCAATAAAATTTTTGTATAATGTATAAGAAAGTAAAGTAATAATTACAAGGATCATTATAAGAATAATTTGCAGATAGATTTAATATTTAAAAATGATTGAAATCATTATAAATTGGTTGATAACAGTGTGTATCGCTATAATTACCGTATATTTAGTGCGATTTTATGTGAAAGTATATTCCCTACCGCGGGGTCCGTTCCCACTCCCGGTGTTTGGCAATGCGTTGAGTGAGTCATATTTATAATACTTTATTTAAACCAATGTGATAAATAAATTTTGATTATACTACCTTTATCTAATAGCACTTTTGATCTCGATTCTATAACATCACAATTTACTCATACATGTACTATATGTTAACCACAATTCGTTGGTCAAAGTATTTAAGTTAAACAAGGATCACACGCGATGCTATGCGTTAACCACAATTCGGGAAATTCATCAAAGATTTTAAATTTTTCAATACTATTGTTGGAATACTCTCACTATTATTATTTTGAGAATTTTAAATGTTTT